ACAGCTCAAGAGAGGACATGCCCAGGCTCCAGCAGCAAATACCTTCCAGCTGCCCTCCCAGCTCTTTTCCAAACTGCTGGATTTTCAGTGCAAGGGCCCTGCAGGTGCTGGCTGGGGTGGACTGTCTGAAAGGGACAACAGGAGTTTGGGAGAGCATTTACAGCTGGTGTATGTTTACATCAAGTGTTAAACATGCACCACATTACAGCAATATTTTAAAGACTCCTAACGAGTTCAGGTAAATATTGCTCTCCAATTCTCCTCTGACACCTCCCTAGATTTCCCCAGCTCCAACAACTATTCTTCCAAGTGTAAATCTCAGCGTTTCAGACTCAATATGGATGTTTGATCTGTGCTGCTGCCTGCTTTATGTCCTGCTCAAAACATTAGGAAGCACAAATTTCTGAGTAAAACCTACACTGCTGACAGCATAGCAGAATGAATTCCTTATCTAAGGTAGTGTTAGCATTAATATTATCCTGATTCCAAACACTAAAAAGGGAAAAGAAAGCAAATTACCCTTGCCTGGTAATGACATGGTGTGATCATTATAATGCAGCCCAGAGCAGAGGGAAGAGGGACCTTTGGTACTGTAAGTACTTATTTCCATATGATGGGACAAATAGTCTGTGCATCAGGTGCCTTGCAGAGTTACAAAACCACAATAGAAAATTAATGGAATATATTCCATAATATTTATTCACTCTGTGAGTTAGCATTACTTGCCTAAAAATAATGATAAACCCTTGAACTGATGTTAGATATAGATTAGAGTGCTCAGATACAAACAGGTTCATTGGGCACTGGAAATAGTGGGTAACTTCAAACATGCAGTCCAAGTATCTCTGAGTTGAATCTAAGACACCACAGGGAAATTAGAAATTGTTCTGGTTTCCTTTCACACATCTTCTGTGGCATCTTTGAGCACCACCCTCTCATACATCAGTAACATGAACCCTTCTCTTTTACTGCCTGATGAAGGTGAGAAGTAATTGATCAGAGCTAGAGCTTATGTTTTACACATGAAAATAGGCAAATGAGGCTAATTAATGAGAAGTGTTGACATTTATTTGGGTTCTCTTAAATTTTAATTTTACCAGAGTTGGGATTTACAGACAGGTATGGTTTCCATCAGCAAGGCAAATGCAACCACGTGTCAGGGCTGAAAGTTTTACACAGATCACTCCAGAAGTTAACAAAGTGTGCCGTGTTCAGCACCTGCAGCTGTGAAAAGAGACTGACATTAGTGTGGAAGGGAGGTGGTGTTTATGTCAATGAAACAGAATTGTTATCAGAAATAGAATGGTTTGCTCATAGAAAGATATAATTATTTAAGTCATATGTTAGTCATTTAAAGGATCAAACTAAAGTTGCTCTAATTAAGCTAAATTTGCCTTTCAGTGCAGATACTGATATACAGTTCTGGGAGAAAAGTGGTCTAATTTATTCTTCCTTTAAACATCCTCCAGGAACCATTAGTCAGCTCTGCTTCAAAACATGAGATCAACATAAGGGCAGTGCACATGGAGTTCTTTACCTTCTGGTTTCTCAATCTTGAGGCAGCATCCAGGTGAAGTGTCATGTTTCTACCTCCTTCTGGAGCACCTGAAACCATGCTTAAATACAGGGATTGTTGTGGAGTCTCATGATATCCCACAGCTTCAGGACTAGGAAAGGCAAAAAAAATTGTCTGGTCTTTAACTTAGAAGGGGAAAGGCAAGAAAGGCTTGACTGCCACCCTAAGATCTGGCAGGGGACTGGGGAATTAAATAACTGGTCCTGTCCCAGGAGCAGCTGGCTAGGAAAGCTGAGGATGCAGGCTGGGATGTAAAGTCTACAGGAGAGCTGTACATATTTCTCTAGGCACACTGAGACGAAGGAGCCCTGTGGCTCTGCCCTTCTGGCACATGGCTGTGCCCAGGGGCCCAGGGGGAGAGGAAAAGTGAAGAAGCAGAGCTGCCAAGCTTGCCTGGCTCCCATGCTGGGATCCACACAAAAAAAAGCAGTGCCAAAGACTGACAGAGAAACTTTGCACTGCTGCAAGCTCATCTGGGCAGGGGTTTGTCTGATATTCAGAAAGCTCAGTTTTAATCGGAGCTTTTTCTGATGTGCTATTAACAGTATGGAGTATCTTCTTGTGATTGGGCAGGGTTTCGATGCTTTTATGAGACAGTGAAGCTGTGTTTCAATACAGAAAAAAAGTGCCAAAGAGGTGAGAACGTGTGATTTTTATAGAGAACAGTATTAAAAAAACAGCCCTTCAATTTTTTAATCGTGTGCTCTTTGAGTTCAGTTTTAGGACATGCATTATGCAGACACGAAACCAGGACTTTCAGATAAAGTGGAGTTTTAAGTGTATTATTACCTGATTTGCATTTAAATTAGTGGAACGCTGCTTGGGATATTCTATAGAGAGCCACTGCTTCCTCTTCTGCACCCCAGACAGACACCTTCAAGAACTCAGGCCCTGCAACGCCCTTCAGCCCTCGGCTAGAACGTAACTGGGGGGAGCACTCAGAGGCTGTGAACTCCATCAGAACAAATCACTTAATAAAGCTTAGCTGCAGTTTTACATGGTAAGTAAGTTTTGCTGTTACAAGGGGGAAAAAAAGTGGTTTTCAGCACTTTGTTGGTCACTCGTATGGTGAAGTTGACGCAACACTTGGCAGGGACTGTTCCTGGCTGGTTGGATCACCAGAGAGGTGGGAGTGTGAGCACCCCGAGTCACGTCACTGGGGACAGACTGTGGCCCCACCGTGCCTGGCACCAAGAGCTGTCTGGGCACAGAGGGATAGAGTCAACAGCTTGTGGGAGAGCGGTGTCACATGGACAAAGTCCACTTAAATAATTCACAGGGTGGGATGAGTAAGAGAAACTCTTGATTGCCTAGATCATGATCTGTCAGCAAAAAATTATTTTGCTAGTATCTGCCTCCCTCAGCTTTTATCTGGGGCAAGGGGATTCCCAGCACTTCCTCAGTGAAAGCAGCTTCTCCCGTGGGATGTTTTCTGATGCATCTCCTCCATTCTTTCACCTTTCACTTTCTTTCCATCACCTCTCATTACATTTGCTGGAATATTCCTTAAAAGCACAGACTTCTTTTCCATGCAGCCAAACAAACAGATATACAGCAAAGTTTAGTTGAATAATTAGTAGATAATCTTTTGTCTCTTTTATCACAGACTCTTCTGCCTCAGAACAAACAAGTGTTCACCTTTGTTTCACCTCTGACAAAGGTGGCTCAGACTGGTACATCTGCTCCCCTTGGCTGGGTGACAGCTGGTCTGGGGAAGGGAACAGAGGCTCACTGAGCCATTGCATGGGCACAGCACTACTCTGTTCCCACTCACTGTTGCAGGGTACTCGTGGGAGGAAACTGCATGTCCTGGTCTCTGTCTTCAAGACTTGTGATTGCCTGTGCAAGGTGCACAAACACTCCTCTGGGCTCTGCAAAAGGACTAGACCAGGCCTGGGCAGGGGCTACTGCAGGGAAGTGCCTGTCCAGCCCAGGCTCAGGGCAGTGCTCACACACTCCCAAGCGGGTAGGGAGCTCAGTATGGCAGAGCAGTGTCCCAGCCCTCTAAACTCAGCAATTATTGGTCTCTCCTGGTTTAAGCCCTTGGAACAGAGGTGGAGCCTGCTTGAGAGATGGGCATTTGGGGAGCAGCTTACTCCTCCTTTGAGCTACAGCCCAGCCCAGCTGCTACCCACTCCTGCTCCCCACACATGCTGGAGCTGGTGAAGGCACTCACCTCCTTTTTCCCCCTGGTTGGCAAAACACTTTTTTTTTTTGTACCTCCATAAAGTAAAGCTTTGGAACAAAGGGCTTTTCCTTTTTCTGTCTCTCTCTAGCGAGCACTAACAACAGACTCCAGCCTCCTCTGCTGGGCATGAGCATCTCTTTAAGCCCTCTTACCTTGGCCTCAGTTTTGGTTATTCTGTTTAATTGGCAGATGTTTTGCAGGACACCAGAAAAGAGCATACACATATCAGATGTAGTTTCCTTTGAGGGGTCTTGTTACCTCTGCTAGGGCTCTTCTGTTCCCTTTCAGTGTTGAGATCAAACAGCCTCTTGGATGGAAATCCTGTGTTCTCTGCAATGCAATGCCTTACATGTATTAATGCATGAGAGAGGCTGCTAGCACACCTGCCAGATCCTTCCATACTACAGCAAGTCTCTCCTGTAATATCTTCCACAGTCATCATCATTATGCAGCTTAAGGAGGAGTAATGGTCTGATTTTGAAGCAGTTGAAATCTCAGCAGTTTACACTGTCTTCTCCTGGATTTGTGGGTGTTCTATCTGTAGGTAAATAAAAGAACCCACTTTTAGACCCATACCTACTGATGTGCTTTAAACTCATCCTCATGATTTACAGCAATGAGCTTTGTAGCAACATTTTCCTGTTCTCTACGTCTTTAACGTGGAAAGTCTCTGCTGCTCTCACTCCGTAGCTTAACCTGCAGACTGCTGTAACAGATACCAGCCCTGTGTTTGTGGTGCACCAGTAAATTCTCCTTTGGCAGCTGCTCTCACACGGATGCATTGCACAGCCTCCCTGCCCCTGCCAGCAGCAATGCAGTTCTGATCTCACAGGTCAGCTGGTACCCATCACATTTTGGTAATTACCTTCTAGCAGCTTGTTGCACCCAGATGTCAGCATAGAGTTTTCAAGCTCTGTAGTAAGCAGAATAAATTGAGCTCAACATCACTTTCACATTCCTTTAAAAAGCCTCCTCTTGTCCAGTATTCCCCCCTGCACCTTAAACATGGCAAGTATTTAAATAGTGAAATATCTGCTTCTCAGCCCTGACAGACTGGAAGTTGGCCTACCTACAGTACTGACTTCAGCAATACAATTTTTCACAATTCTCCATCTTTTTAAGGCCCTTATAGTTTTGAGATCCTTGTATCTTGATACTGCACTTTTACAGGAAGAGTGCATCAGTTTGGAAGCATCCACATCTAAAACGTGCAAATAAAACTGACAAAACAAAAAATGTGTTCAAACACTTTTTTATTAGTTAAAAAAAAAATATTTCCACAATACCTAGAGATCCCAAGTGCCAGTGCAGATGGAGGTGACACACAGACCAGTGAGTCCAACCAAAAGATGCAAAGCAAGTGGGTTGGGAAGCCAGGAGGGAGGTGGGGAAGGACAGACCCCCTGGTACACACCTGAACTTTACTTACAATCAGAGGAGTCTGGCTTACATGTATTGTACAACTCTTTTTGAGGCAAGTGAAAGACTACAGAGCTGAATGTAGTTAGTCTATGGACAGTGGGATTTTCCTGTTGTAGTGTCAGCTAATATTTCCATGTATGCTCTTGGAATGGTCTTTTTTGACCTAGGATTCCCTAACTTGATGGATCACCTTCAGTTTCACCCTGTGAGAGGAGAGAGACAGGAAAACAGTTAAATACTTCCAGTGGAAAACATATATAAATAAAATTAAGAGAAAAATCAATGCTAATAGTCACCCCCAAAAAAAATCATAAACAGCTACAAAACAATGAGGACCATAAGTGGCAGAGAAAATAAATGAAATATCCATTTCTTCTGGAAACCAGACACACTCCCACTGACCTCCAGGGAAAATGAGGGTGTGAGTTCACAGATGGTGGAAGTTGAGCTAATGTGGGGCTGGGCTGCCACCAGCAGGAGTGTCCTGCTTTCTGCTGCTGGGTCTGCTCCTGCAGCCTGACGTGAGCACTGGGGTAGCCACGGAGTCAGTCACATTAGTGGGGCTCATTTCGGGGACTGGCAGCAGGGGTGATGGCTGGCAGAGAGTGGTAGGTGCAAGCTGAGACCACAAAAACAGTCTGAGCTTTGGAAAAGCTGAAAAATGTGGGGTTTGGGTACATGCAGTACCTGTGGAGTGGGCAGACAAAGGCCTTAGGACTGAAACCATAAAGAAAACACCATGTGAGAAGCATTTGCCCCTTTAAAGCATCCTTGTTGGACAATAAGTTATTCTTGTTCAAGAGCTGAAAGTGGCCCAAAGACTGACATCTGACCCAGGGCTTCAAAAGGACATTGCAGGTAGAACAGATCAAAAATTAAAAGAGCTAATTTAAATGCAGAAGAATCTATAGAAAAATCTAACATTTTATCTAAAGCTCTTCTAAAGCATGGCTGCAACCAGGAAAGAGCTGTTTCATGTGATGACAAAACCAAAAGAAAGCATTAACTATTATATGTGCACCCACAAAATCAGCCCACATCAAGCAGCAGTTTACACTCTGTCCAGTCTGTCTCTACTAGAAAATTGTTGGTCCCCCCCAAAAAAGGAAGTGGCAAAAGCGAGAACTGATGAGCTCAGGTTTTTGTCAAATAACTCAGGAAGGTGGGAATACTGATGGGAACCTCACAGGGCAGATCCACAACCGCAGGGTGCAAAGGGGCATTCTCCCGGGGAGGGGGGAAGCAGTAACCCAAAAGAGCCCGTGTGTGGCCCCAGGGCCCCGGCTCCCCCTTACCTCTGCCCCGCCCGGGCCCGGCGCCGGGGCCCCCTCTCCGGCCACCCGCGGCTTCTCCGGCGCTGCCAGGTCCTCCTGCCAAGGCACAAGCACAATGTTTGTCCTTGCTGCCACATGCAGAGTCATCGCCCTAATCTTAGACAGACCATTCGAGAGACTGCGCGACAGTGACTGAGCATTACGCACCCAAATAAAACACCAGCTTTAATATTGCTTGAGATCCACTTCTGTTGTGCAGCTCGTTGGAGCAGATATCTGTGAAAAAGCAATTCATTTTCCTACCACCTGCTTTAGGGTCTTTTTCATACAGAAAATCAGTTCTTTTTCTGTTACTGAGACCAGAGTTTTGACTCTTTCAGCGTGAAGAAATTTGGGAGGAACAAATAAAGTTACCTACAATAAGACTACACCAAGCCTTTCCCCACATTATCTTACTTACCCTAAGCACTTATTGCATAGACTAAAACTAATTTACGATACAGCAGTACTGTGGTGGTGTTAATGTCATGCTTCAGATAAAGTGTCATTATCAAAGGTTTTGTGTTTGAGTCCAAGTATTTACATAAGCATTTTTGGCTCTTTTAGCTACTTGCCTGCATCTTTCAGCTTCCTCTCTAGCCCAAAAGGAAGAGAAAAGGTTGTATTACCAGGCAGTTACTTTAAGCACAATTTAGCCAGAGAAGACAAAACCCTGACTGTACTGGACAGAAAGAACAAATGCCCCTGTGTGGAATCAGTCAGTGAGAGCAGGAGGAAGCAGAAATAGCAGGACTTCTATAGCCCAGCCCCAAATAACCAGGCAACTCAAAATTACTAAGCTTCTCTGTCTCCTTTGAGCACACATGCCCAGCAGTTTCCCTGAATTACTCTTTTCCCAGGTGAAGTCAGGGCTAACACAGAGGGAACCAGAGACACACATATTATGTAAAGGGAAAGTCAATTTTGCATGGAGGACAGAGCTATCATTTGAATTTTAACATTTTGAAACACAGGGTCACCACTTTCCCTGGTGCTGCTGTTGATGCAGTACAGATCAAATGTCCCTGCCAAGCCTCCTGTAAACAGAACTTCATGCTCCCTTGTGTTTGGGGAACTCCACTCTTAATTTTGACACGTGTCTTTATTTTCCTGTTCAGTCATAAGTGTTCTTATCAGTAGGAGAGCACTCCTGCTGCTTTTGGGACTGAATCATGGAAGAAGAGGGGATACAAAATAAAAAGGGAAAAATACACAGAGTTATATAGATATAAGGTGGAGCCCATGAAAATTTAAGTTGGAAATTGGACTTCAGGTCCTTTTGTGGCAGGAAGGGGAGCCAGGAGATGGAAGCACTGCAACCTGCTTGTCCTACCTGTAGGCTTCCTGCTCTCCATATAAGCTACCAAGGGATCAATCCACCAAAACCAGAAAACAGCCAAAATATGAGCTGCAGCCCAGTACTGATGTCTGTCACAGCTGCAGGCATTCCCTTCGTCTCCCTGCTGAGACTAGAGTTGATTAGTTTGTTTATGGAGAGCACCACGCACTGGGGTGTCTCCAGATGAGAAGCACAGTGTGACCACCTTTTCCCAAGGAACACGCCCTTAATTTGCACTGCATTGTTGACCTGAGCCGTTTTAAGTAAGCCCAGGTAACTTAATGACATCAAATTGTGCACATCATGGAAGACAGTTTCTCCCAGCACAGCAGGGATCACGGCTGTTGTGGAGAGGCCACTGCTCTGATGGAGCCACTCAGCCACAGCCTTTCAGAAAGGCAACTCCCCTGCAGGCAGCAAACAGCTCACTGCTCTGAATTTATGGAGGTTCATCCAGCCTCAGGATCCAGCCTCAGGATCCAGCCTGTGGCTTGAAAAGACTTCAGATGCATATAAAAAGGACTACGCCTTATAACTCAACAGCACGAGCTAGGCCAAAGCGGGTAAAAATAGCCTCAAATTGTATTTTCAAGCTTTACAAGCAGGTTTTTCGGCTGTTAGGTGGAAAGAAATCTGCAGTGCAAGCTGCTCACAGTAGCTGCAACAGCAGGTGTCTCGTAGGTGTTTTGCAGGTGGAGTTCCCAGCTGCCGTGTGAAATGGTGAAGGTCAATCAAAGGCGACCGCCGAAGGTGCTGAGCTGCACTGGGAACCTGCAGGACAGCTCACAGGAACACGAGGACAGGTGAGGTGCACTCTGGCTTTCTGCAGGGTACAACCACCTCCTGCTCCTGTGGGCAGGGAGCTCAGCTGGGGTAGATGTGGAAAGAGTCATGGAAAAGGGATACCTTCCTCAGGACCACCCTCAGGACACTGCATCCCAGAGCAACGGATGGGCTGAAGAATCCCTGTTCAGCTATTGTGCTGCCTGTTAGATCCCTTAAATCGTGCTCTCCTTGCCAAGACTCTGCTCCAGAAGGATAAAAATCAACCATCTATTTTTAGAAAGGGAAGCAACCGTGTTTCTGGATAGTATTTCTAAACTTTGGTGGAGGAACAGCACAATTGCAGGATGAAGAGGTGTCAGGCTGTGTTAGGGATGTCGCCTCACAGCCTTTTTCTCACGCGCTTCCCACCCTGCCCAGAATAGTGATCCCGAGATGAGGAAGGGCTGCATTCTTCAGCTGGGTGTTAGCTGGCTGAGGATTGCAGTAACTGCTCAGGGAAACAGAGCAGGACCACGTGATGGAAGGGTCTTCACTTTGGATGAAGAGCCAGAGACCCCCGGGTACAAGCTCCAGCTGTAGCACTGACCCACAGCACAACGCTGGGCAAGAAAGCAAAGGTGAAAATCCAGCTTCTCTGGGGGACAGCAAGAGTTTTGCCATTGCTTTCACTGTTCATCTGCTCATTAAAAGGGACAAGATTTTCTAAGGGAGAGGCATGTTGAAACCATGAAGCAATTAGTAATGGTCCTCCTGCTCTTGAAGTGAAACGATTTTTTCCCCTCAGAAGTCATGCACTGCCTTAGAATAAGTATTTTAAATGAAAAAAAAAATCAGTTTGCTATGGGCTATTTTCTTCTATTTTTGGGGGAGAAGCTGAATATTTTTTGCTAATGAAGAGAGAATTAAGGACTTTAACATAATAGTTAAGTGAAACACAAGACCTTAGAATTTCTTAAAGGAATACCATACAAGTTTTTAAATATTTTATGAATAAAAAATACATTCCCATATAAAATATATACACTATAGAAGATTTATATATATAAAAACCAATATTTAACTAAGGTTATGAAACATAGGTACATGTTCAGCTATCAAAAATGAAGAACTTGACAAATTAGGATCTGCCATTTATAAAGATATTCCTGTGTAATGTTGAGATCTTAAATAGACCATACTATAGGCTCCTGGGTTCAGATATTTTAATATTTTTTTAAACTGATTTGAAACCCCAGAAATATTGAAAAATAATTAATTATAATTTCATTTCTCAGATTTCTTTTTTCCCCTCAGGTTCTATGAAATTCCCTTTTCCAGCTTACCAACTGAGTTGTATGTTCTGAGTCCATACACAAAATGGAATTTGTGTTTTTATCTATATTATGTTATAAGCCCGTAGGGCTTTTTTGCTTTTCCCAAAAATTCAGACAAAAATAACCTTATTAGTATTATCTTCCTTATATAACAGAGAAAGCAATCCAATATTGGATGCTGGCATATGACTCACTAGAATCTCAAAAAATTCAGTGGTGAGCAAGAGTTCATTATTATTATTATTATTATTATTATTATTATTGTTATTGTTATTATTATTAGGCTGTAAAGCCAGAGAGGTTCACTGGCAGCCTCATCTGCTACAAATTTAACAGCCCTCAATGGGACATCAATTGCATAAGGCAGAGAGGTTCAGCCTCCTGTAGTGCTCTTGACCTTGGGCGTTGGAGCAAACACAACAGTACTTGGCAGTATCCCCACTCCACTCCCTCGTAAATCCTCAGGCAACCTGACAGGTCCTATGGACAGGCTGTGCTGTATAGGTTTCAGGCTGAACGTGCTTGGAGTGATGCTGACAGCTCTAAGAGGTCAACTCGTGCCTAAAGTGAGTGGACCTACCAACAGGACAGACAGATGGGCACACAGGAGCCCTGTCTTACCCTGCAAATCCAGATGGACTCTTGGGGTGGCTTTGTTTTCATCCAGCCCACAGCCAGACTCTCTCACTTTCCTGAGACTGCTTATAGAAATAATACATATTTAATAATGTATCCTACAGGATTGTTGCGGCACAGCTTTGAGCCATGAAGCAAACACATGGTCTTGCAGACTTTAAGGCTTCACCAGTGCCACCAACTCAGCTATTTTGCATGAGAAAATGTATGCCTGGATGCACTAATGAGACTGAGAAGGAAGCATAAAAAAAGTGCCTGTAGGCAGAATACCCTGTTCCACACTGCTTTTGTAGTCTCTCCTGCTCCATCAGATGTGGACGGATACTACTGGGGTGCACCACTGCATCAACCAAGTACAGAGAAGCTTGAATGCTAAGAGGAAGAGTTGCAACTATTTATTCTACTTAATTGTGAGGGAGTTTAGCTGCTGATTTCCCTGCTCCTCTTGCTCAGCAGCTCTGCCCTCCTTGGCCTCTCAAATGCCCTTGGTTGCTCTCTCCTGGTGGTGCTTGCCCTGCCCAGACTAACTCGAACGGGGAGGTCACTCAGTTTCTGCTTCCAATTCCTTCGGTGCGACTGCCTTGGCCTCGGTGGTGTTGCAGGGTGTGAGTGAGCAGAATCAAGACCACAAATGTTCACCTCCAGAGTGTGCAGCTGTTATGAAAGCGATGAGCCCCGGCCTGGGTGCGGCTCAGGCACACGAGATCAGGCACACAGGGAAACGCTGCGAGCCAGCGAACGCGCCCAGCGGATGCACATAACTGACAACTGCTCCAATAATTAATGGAGCGAAACAAAAAAGGGATCAAACCCAATTCAAAGTGACAGAGTCATGAGCTGGCAGCTAAATCATGAAAACTGACAGGACAAATAGATCTAAGGGGAAGATCTAGGCGGAGGGTGCAGGGAAGCATCATACTGGGGAAGTTGTTCCACTGCCTGAAGGACATTTTGTGAGTGTATGTACGTGCCCTCGTTCCCAGCCACGTGGTGTCTGCATTGCAGCAAGCTCTGTGCTGCGTCATGCAGACGAAGAATTAATCCTCTTTTAAGACAGGGATATGTAGTGGGTGGTTATCTCACTGGAATCTCTTGATGTCCACCCCAGGGATGGGGATGGGTGCAGAGCCACAGACAGAACGCATCACTGATGGGTTTCATTCCTTTGTGGATCAGAAAAATTGTGGCGAGTTTATAATCTCTTAATTTACACATTTTTTAGTTAATACCTAAAAACTCTCCCAAATCAGTCAATACTTTCCTGTACTCAGTGAGCAGTGACCAGGCCACTGCCAAAGCCCTATCAGGCGATGCCAACACTACGTAAGGTTGTTCTCATCTGGTACTTGGCACCCCCTCACAGGCACAGAGTTACTCCAGCCTCATTTCCTTCTGCATGGCTCTGAGTGCTCCCACCAAGGACAGCAAGGAGCAGCAGGTTGCCAACTGCCCCATGGGTGTGCACATTTCAGTGCCTGCCATGATCCAATAGCAGGCTGAATTCTTTCCCATGACCCAAGTGACCATGTGATACACCCACAGAACTGAACCAACCCATGGCTGCTGTCATGAGCAAAACTTAACTCAGAATCCTCAGAGTTCCCCTCTCCTGCCACCCATGCCAGCTGTCAAATGCACAGATTAAATGTCAACAAGCTCTCCATAATTGATATTAATAGTGGGAAAGCTCAGCTGGAGACATGCCTCCTAGGCCACTTGCCTCCCCCAGACCCGAGCCACTCTCCTGCACTGCTCAGTGCCAGGCATTCACACAGATCCCTGGTACTTTGAACAACCCCTCTATAAAGTCAGCAGGGAACAGCACTGGAGACAGCTGAAAACCAAAATAAGGCATTAGCAACTGCTCTGTGCAATTAGAAAGGAGGAGGACAGGATGGAACACAAACAAGTCTCAGCACTGGGTATAACACCTCCCTCAAACTTCAGGGGCTGAAAGGCTTGTGTATGACTCCAGGATTGCAAGATGATAACAGTAGCTATTCACTGCTTAAATATCTAAAAGCTTTAACTTATCACTCTTAGTGTATCTTCAATGGGTCTCCCACAGGCATTATAGTGCCTGGTGCTGCTCTTGGCAGACTCTGGACGTATTTCCATTAGCAAACTCTGCAGCACAATAGGAGCAGATCTGGAGAAAAAGCAGCCGGTGTCCAAGAGCCCAGCACAACTCCTTATATTCCTTTCAGGGCCCTCCCTCAGGAGCAGCTTTGGCTCCAAGGCAATCAACCATCAGCAGCTGGGAGGTGCTCGGTCTGCTCATGGAGCTCAATCTTCCGTGTCTAGCTCTGTGATAAGGTATGGTGAGCGAGCATGAATAAAAGATTTGCACTCCTAAGCTGAGCTAAACCAGCAGAATAGATGACCCCTCTTTCACAGAAACAAACATTTTTTCCTGAATTCCTTTCTCCTGTGACTTTGTCTTGTTTTTCTCCTCCTGTTTTCATTCTGCTGCCCACCTCTGCTGTTTGGCATGACACCACGATGCTGTGTCCAAAACAGTCTCCTGGTTCCATTTAGTCTGCCCTTTGGCATGTGACACATCCTAACTTTTTATTTCTTGAATGATCTCCATTTTAACTCTAAGCAGTCAGATCAGCACTCCAATCAGTGGAAGATGCCAAAATGACAGTTCAGATGCTTAATGCTTTAACCCTCCCAAACCTCACAGCTCTGCATATTGCCTGCAGTCTGCATAAGCCAGAACCTCTACTAGGGTGAAGGAATCACTGATTTTCTGAGGGACTATGTTCACAAAGATGGAAACAGATAACATTGACTGATTTGAGCTCTGAAATCAGCTGTAAACTGTAGTTGTCAGTCTTTGAGGTGGGGCTCTCACTTCGGAGGAAAGAGGAACAAGATTGCTGCAGCTCAGTCCTTGCTAGAGGGAAGACAGTCCAACACCTGCAGGATGGATTCCTACAGTCAGCACATTCCTCACTCTCCTGGGTCAATCACCCTGCACCAGGTCAGCTGAAAGGTTGAAGGGGGTATTCTGGCCCCATGGAATTAGGAATCACTGTTTGCTCCTACAGCCCAAATGCTGTGGGAATAGAGATTAATCTTATCCCAAGGGCTTAGCAGAACTCCTGTATCTGCCCTTTTCACATGCTTGCAGGAGGACATTTTGCGTCACTCGTAGCTGCTGTTCCCCTCTTTTGTTAGGCTATTCTCCCAGGATTTATATGCTGTGTAGAAGTTTTGTTTCACATCACAATGTGTTTACGTGCAGGTCAGGAAATTAATCAGCCGACTATCTGAACAATTAAAACAATTTTGGCCAGCCTGGCTTTGCTTTGATTCAGGGTTTGGGTTTGTTGTGACTCATCTAGCTCATGTGGCTGTCAACAGCAGTGATCACAGCCCTCCGAAGAGGGGAAAGAGCTGGGCTTACCAAAGAGCTGCCAAGTATTAGCCTCGTGCTGTACAAATGGTTGCTGTTTGTTACCACCCAGGGAAAGCATCTTCTCTAATGGTCAACACTGCCTTCATCTAAGGGAACTGTTCTGCTCCTTCACATGCCCCTTAATCCCCTCACTTGAAGCAGTCCAAGTGCCAAATTAAGCTGGAGGACAGAAGATGCCTTGTCTGAATCTGGCTTAATCCGTGCACAATTTGGATCCCACGGCCTTTATCAATAAGTGCCTGGATGTTGCCCGAGCCAGCAGGAAGCAGAGCAGCAGGGTCAGGCGCTCCGCCGGGCCGGGCTGTGCCTGAATTTCTGCTGCCCTCTGCTGCCTCCGGAGCTGCCGGGCCGAGCCTGTGCATCCCACCAGCGTGGCACAGCTGTGAGGGCAAGTGCTGAGCTCCTGTGCCTTCCCACCCTGCACATCCCAGAGCTCTGACTCCATCCAGGTGCTCACTGCAGCCCAGCCGCATTTCTGCTCAAGTTCCTGGGGAAAAATGCTTTTCTACATTCGTAAGAAAATGAAAGACTCTTGCCAGCAGTGCCCACTGATGGGACAAGAGGCAATGGGCACAAATTGATTAAAGTGTCCATCTGAACAGAGGAAAACACTCTGTTTTTTCTCTCTCTTCCTGTGAGGGTGGTCAAACACTGGCACTGGTTGTTCAGGGGTGTTGAGGAGTCTCCATCTGTGGAGATATTCAAAATTCAGCTGTACAGAGTTCTCTCTCATTGACCCTAAGGAGGCTGGACTAGATGATCTCAAGTAGTCCCTTCCAAACTAAATGATTCTGTGACTATATTACGCATAATATTAAGTGTTATACAAAAGCAGATATTGCTGCAAACCTTTCATTACATAAGTAAAACCATCACCTGTAAATGTTTGAAGGTATTTTAAGTGTAATCCAAAGGTGACTCTTCCATCCTGCACACCACTGAAGAAACAAACATACCTTTTTTACAACTCCTGTGGTGGCTGCGATGGTCTCTGCTCCTTCTACAGTTTTGTTTGCCACTGTGTTCACGCTGGATACTACAGCCTCTCCCACCACATTGGCCTGCTCTTTGGTCTTCTCAGCAACTGGGGTTTTAACAAAAGCAGAAAGTCAGTGAGCTGGACACTGCCAAAAGGCTGCCAAATTCCCCGGGACAGTAACATGAATGCACTGAGGTAAAAGAAGAAATTGGCCCTCGTACAGTCCTTGTTTGGATTTTTTTAGATGAGATCACATTTGAATTTACATTATGTACGTGAGGGTTTTTGTCTGACTCAAAATGCTGTTCAGAGGGCAGCACTGCAGCCTGTCAGTCATTGTGGGAAACTGCAGAATGAAAAATTCACTGTCAAATACTAAGAGACAATAGTGCAAATAAGGTATTTTGCATTGCAGACTCTGCATGACCTCTTCCTGGGTACCTTCTGTTTGATTTAATACTCCTGGGTAGAAAAAAGTAATCATTATGAAATTCTCCAGGGAAAGGATCCATTTATCTCCCTTCAAGGCAGTCCACATGGCTGCTCTGCCTTGGAGCTTGGGTCCTAGAAGGAACCCTCTGGGTCCTTGATTCTGTGACTGCCTGACAGGAGTCTCCCAAAGACCACAGTTTTGGCCCAACAGGAACTGATGGAAGCAAATCCTCTCTTCATGCTGGGCAGCACACTTGACATTGTGAAATGTCTAAATTGCTGTGACTCATCCCAGTCTGCCAAGTAACCTTCATCAGATTTTTTGACCCGCTCTACTGATCAAATATTTTCTCCCGTCTGTGTCCACTGCAAATGCCAGACCCTGAACCATTGCTCCTGGCAAGCATCCTCCATTCATCACCTGGAAGGTCACACATGTCAGTGGTGTCCCCCCCAGACCTCCCATTTGACAAACCATCACAGGTTCCCACACCCCTCTCAGGGCTGTGCTCTTACCTGAGGTCACACTTTGCACCACGCCCTCCTTGGTTTTGGTGCCTGTGAAAGGAAACACAGTCCATCAGTGCTACCTGGCTAAGAAACCTGTGGTTTCTGGACACGTACAGCTTTTTGTTCTTACAAAGTGCAGTAGGGAGCTAGAGTGCTGCTGGAATATTTCCAGAATTAAAAGAACAGTTAAATAGTGGTAAGTCAATGTTAAGCTAATTGTAAAAATGACTGTATATTAAATCACCTGGTAAAATCTCACCTACTTCAGTCTTGCAAGACAAGGAGTCACATCTGTGACTCTCTCCTGCATTTCAGCAGAATCCTTGGCTGCAGCAGTCATTTAAAATCTCATTCTATATCACAAGTAAAGACTTGAGAATCTTAAAGCTGAATTTACAGAACAACCACCCACAGACTACATACCTACTAACTAGATTCCCATTTTGGTGCCTCAGCCTAGGCTGTAAGTGCCTGCTCACAGTGATACACAGAATGCAGATGGTTTTATCTCAAATTATGAAAGTACACCATATGTATACTTACATTGTAATTTATCTCGCTGTTCTCAAGGCAGAAAAGCCAACAGGATGTGAAGGCATTCAGTTTGCAACACAAATAGCCCTAAGGAATAATTAATCTCTGTGATTTTCCTCCACGCTTCAAGTGACCAGCTATATATCCCTTCTACCTTTTTACTGCAGCAGATAAGCTAAATCATATGGTAGATGGGCAGCCCCCCCAGTAACTACGTGCTTTGCGCATTGAAAAAATAAAGGATCGAATTTATCGCTGTTACAATTTAAAAGAACAATGCCAAAACATTCCACTGGTCTCACTTTACTGTATTTTGTAAATTATCTGCACCTAAGCAGGCTCTCTTCAAATTTCCCATACTGATACAGCAAAAGGATTTCTATGGCCAACCATCAAAATGGTAAAAATAGAGAACCAGGCAGATCTTTGACTCCATGGAAGTGCAGCATCCACGGGTGTGGTGGGAGAAACCAGCTACAAACCACAGCTCGTTCTCATTAGCAGCCTGAGAAGTGAAACAGGTGCAGTGCCCTGATAACAAGAGATCCAGCCCAGCTCTGTTCTGCCTGACACATGTTACGTGTTATTGGATGTTATTCTCAATTGTTGATTTATTTTGGTGGTTGTAATTGTCGCCCGGGGCAGAACAAAACTGTTCTACTACAATATGCCCTCAACATTTCACTCCACCCTCCTGAACTGTGTTAAAACTGAAGAGATGAAATCTTTGTACTTTATTATACTCGTTAGTGCTGTAAACTGCAGTTCCTAGTGGTGGATTTAATAATGATGCCTGTGACACACAAATGTGAGCAGGAGCACAGCAGCGAGCAGAGCAAGTGCGAGTCTCAAGCCATGAATGTGAGCTCCTGAGTGGGCCAAACACACTGTTCAGTTCAGACACCATCGTGCTCTGTTTTCCCTCCCAGTGCTTCTATGAAACACTGCCACAATGCTAATCTGACACACAAGATTGTCTCGTGTCAGACACAGATGTTCAAGCACAGCCCTTTTTTGTTGTTTTTTGGTCAAAGAGCAGTTGATAGGTAAGCAAAGTGGATGATTTGCTGTACTAGACTTCCATGTGTTTCAGTTGTGCAGTAAACACTTAGTGAGACTTCTGTCTTATACATATATTTTTACCAGACTTTTAAGGTGGCTCTCGGGGCTCAATTCTTTCATAGGGGGAGGGGAGTGGTTGGGGGCTATATCTGCTGATCAAAAACAGTTCCAGAAAGGAGGGCTGCAGACAGAAGAAAACCACCCGAATCCATTGTGCCACAGAAGCAGTGTCATTGGGACAGCAGCCCGGGGAGAGCTCGCCTCCCGTTCCCGCCCGGCCACACCCGATGACTCAGGCTCACATCCATTATGCACCGCATGGAACCTGACCTTCCGGCGCTCGCTCCCGCCAGAACCCGCATCTGTTGAATCAGAAAGCAATCACCTGATGCTCAATCTCATTTCACTCATTAGCCCTTGCCTGCGGCTTCTGTACACAGAATTAAAAGTTCATGCATCCTGCCTCTTCTGAGTGCTGTGAGTCATCCGTAAGAGCTTTGGTACGGCAAGGGTGGGACTGAGGTGGTGGGAGAAGGTTTAGAGTAGAAAGAGATATTATGATGGGCGTTAAGTCCTGCAGGAGTCACTTGGTTTAAGTAGAGCTTGGTGCGCTGGGGCTTTCTGTGACACACACGGTCGAAAATCTTTCTGGAAAACTAGAAGTGCATTCTTTGTTGAGGCTTACTGAATTATAGCATTAAACAGTACTAATGACCTTATACTCAATACTCTGATGCAGCTTCGCATTAAATTCATTAACTAACTGCAACATCATTTATCCCCCTTTTTAAACCAAACAAAAAAAGACCAAACAAAAAAAGACCAAACAAAAAAAGACAGCTGCTGGATCCCCACTGAGGGATCCCCTGCCACTTTGCTGTACCCAGAGGCTGTCACAAGTTGCAGAGCAGTCTGTGATTCTGCTAAGCGCAAAGGTGACCCACGCTGCGGGATTTCTCCTCTTTTCATGCCCCCTCTTCTCTACCCTGCTTGTTAGGAAGCCACAGGGAGGGCAGGAGCACCCCACGCCCTGGCTGCCCCGGCGATGGCAGCACCTCGGCCCGGCCCGGCTGTGACCGCATTGCAGGGCCAGCACAGGAGGGAGGCATCTCCTCTCTGCCGTGGAAGCTGAACCTGCTGGGACCAGAGGCAGGGACAAGCTGGCCACAGTGCCCCAGCGATACTGTTTGCTCCAGGCAGGTGCCTCTGAACGAGCATTGTTTTTCTTCCCCTGGGCAGCAGCGAGTGACTCACCAGATGTGGGGGTTGTGCCCAGACACCTGGAATCCTCCTTGGAGAGTCAGCAATGAGTTAGCACAAACCTGAATAAAAGTCAGGGATCCACTTCATCCATCCTAGGCTATGGGGATTTTCCTCCCTTTCCTGATGTTCTGAAAAGACCCTCAAGGTTTGATGCAGTATTGTTTTCTCCTAGCATCCAAAAATTCAAGTTTTGACACCTAATGCTCTAGATGAAGCTGCTGGGATAGGGCTCTGCAAAGGAAGGAGCAGGGAAAGAACAGTTCAGGTCTGTGATTTACCCTTCACATGGCACAGAGTGATAAAAGGCAGCATGAACAACATTCCAGTTTTAACAGATATACCATGCCTCCACCTTCCCTGGTTATTAAAAAACCTGATTTTCTGAGCTAATCAGCATCTGGCCTTGACTTTTCCTGCCTGTGAAAAACTGAATTTTCCCCAAAGGGCTGAGCTTCCCCTAGTGTGCAACAGGAACTGAATCAGCCCAAGGCAAAGCCCTGTGCAGTGCATGACAGGGCAGGAACTGGCACTATACCAACAAACCAAACCAATGAAAGGAGAAAGCACTTAATCTTCACCTTGATCCTTAACTGATCCTCATTCGGAGATTAGGGTTTTAAGGCTTTTTAGTTTTAGACTTAGAGAAAATTTTATTGGAAGGTTAGAATCTCATAAAGAGACTCTGTACCTGAAAAGCAGGTCACAGTATGGAGGTGTACAACGTGACTGAACAGAGATGTGAGGAATTATGTATAAAAACTCTGAATAACCCTGACATGACTCAAATCTGGAAGCAGGTGGAGCAGTAGTGATGCCACAATGTGACATCCATACGTGACATTTCACTGGCTGGTGTTTCGGTTACTGTAGTTAGTTTGTTTATAGGGACTCTGCTTACCTTTTTTCTTGTGAGTCAGCTTCAAATTGAAATGTGAACTTTTACATCCATTCATTTCCAGCATGCCAATAGTTAAGTATTTAAAAATTCAGGATGAAGGCATTACCAGACCTGCTACACACAAATTTTATACTCATTTATAATGTACAAATATATGTCTGTAGCTATTTGCAATAGAGCTGTTTTAAATACAGTAGCTAAGTATAGCTGTGGATGTTGCAGTATGATAGCAGGAAGAATGTGCATGTAAACTTTCCAACTAAAATAAACCCTCTTTCCCACATCTAGCAAAAATGAAAAGCTGTGTGAAACACAGTAATCAGCAGCAAGGTAATCAGTCTTGGGAACCTAAGACTCTGCAGATTTTGTATTATCTGGAATATCTGACCATCCAGCCATATAATTGCATTTGCTAGATAGTGAAGATAGTGGGTTTCGAGGGTGACCTTGAGAGGAGAGGTTTCTGAAACAGCCCATTAACTGTGAGAGAGGTCTCCAGACAGGACATCAGGCGTGCTGTTTCCCAGATCCTATTCTTTGGGCAAAAGGAATTTGGGCGTCTCTTGTAAAGCAAGATTAATGTGTGCATGGGCAACGAAATAGGTTGGTGAACAAGAGAAGGATTTCAGGATAAAACAGTTTGTTTGTGGGGAAACAGATGCATCCTGCAATCCCCTCTTACTAACACTGCTGGCTCCTCTCAGGGACCTCCTCAGCGTGTCTCAGTGTGGAGGTGAGGTGGAGACCAGCAGGGCTCAGATGCTTGGAGAGTGTCTGACTCACCCTGCAAACAATCAGTGACTGGTCTAACAGAAACCTTACACCTGAGCATCTGCTCCTCAACATTACATTCCTTCTGCCTCCCCTACAGTAATGATAGTTTCTATGTCTAATTTACAGTTGGGGAAACTGAGGCATGGGGAGGCTGTGGCACCCCAGGTTTACAAAGCAACTCCGTGCAGAGCTGAGGATGTTATCCAGATCTCCTTGCTATTCATTCCCGAGCTCCAGACACAATATAATTTCCCCAGACTTTCTCAGAGACAATCTATGCATCTGTTCATGCTCAAATGTAGATTCAAACTAGTTCTCTCTTACCTACATACATTACCCCTTCTTTAGTCTTCTCCGCAGCCTCTGTCACTCCCTGCTTGGTCTTTTCTGCAGCAGCCACCACACCTTCTTTAGCGATGGAGAAACCTTTCTTAAAAACATCCATTCTTGTTGCTTGTTAAGCTATTATCTGGGATGATCTGAACGAGGGACAGCAGCAAAAAGCACCTCAAGGCTGGGACTGCAAACTGCAGCCTTACCCTCGGCAGATACTCTGTTTCTCTGCCAGGCTCTGCCTTTGCTCTCACTCCTCCCTGGATGAAGGCAGTGTGGCAAACCTCACAGCCCTCGCTGGCTCTTATTGATGAAGTGTGCTGCAGTGTAGCCAATGCCTGTGTGCAGCTGATACTGAAATATTAATGATATGGATCTGCCTGGGAAGCTTTAAGAAGGGAGGGGGAGAGGAGGACAACGACGGCAGTAGGTAAGGGACCGACTGGAAAATTTCCAGACAGATAGAGCTTTTAAAATATGCTGCAATGCTCTCACTCAAGGATGCTCTCATGTGAAGAGGGAGACTGTTTATGTGGAGAGCTGAGTTCCTGAAAGGGCATCTTCCCGAGGCTGCAGCAGGAGCCAAACAACAGCTCTCATGGGTCCCTAGAGGGTGGAGGGCATATAAAGCTGCTACCACATGTGGCAAACAAACAGGGTCAAAGTTCTGTGGTCTGGCAGTTACCAGAACCCACCCTGCACAAAATGGTAAGGACAACATTATTTCTAGTAAATACTGAGAGAAAAAGGAACCAGCTACAGCTTGGTGGCTCAGGTGAAGGGAGCTAGAGGTCCCACTTGCCATGTTTGTCAAGTCTGAAGGCATTCACTATAAACTGTGGGCTTTGCTCAGCTGTACATCCCATTACAACGGTTCATTTCTGAAAAATCAGATGCTGTTGGGGGAAATCCTGTTTCCTATTTGTTTCTCTGAGTTGCTGCAGACAGAGCTCTGCTCTGCTGCTGCACAGCCAGACAAGGTTTCACGCCCACGTCAGAGGCCTGTGCTGCAGAGCACAGCAGGGCAGGAACACACCCAGCACAGAACTCACTGGGCAAATCTTACAGCTGGCAGAGAGGATCCATCCAGCCTCCAGGCCTTGCTAGGAAAAGATACAAACCCACAAGAACTAATCACAGCTGGATATCCTACTGTGCTTGCAGTTAAACTCCAGTTAAGTTGTTTTCTGAAGTAGATCCTGAGTGGCCCAAATCAGCTATTGTCCCACTAGCAAACCAAAATTCAGTGCTAGCACCTGTGAAAGCAATTGCTGGTGCAGCAAGGTGATTTTAAATGAATTTATTTTTAATAGTGCCATATGTGAAACTACAGAAGCCATGAATCATCATCCTCTGAGCCCAAACCCTGACCTGCTTTGGCTGCTTCTCCTCACCAGGCAAACAGAATATGAAATTCAGAGCCTGAGCTGCATTATGAGAGGGTAGCACACTGTAATGTCATGAAATGCAGTGCTCTGTAAGCCACTGCTGCCACAAGTTTTCAGCCTGGAAGTCTCAGATGGGCAACGACTACACAGAAAAGAAAAAGGTCTGAATAAAAAATGGCATATCTGTGTGTACATGCAGACATGTACACAAACAGAGTTCTTACTGTGGAACTAAGAATAGTTCTGCAGTTTTTGGGAGTGGGTTTTTTATCCCATACTGAAACAATTGAAAAGCTGCTGATCTGGAAAATAATATATAGATTTATTAATTTTTTTTCTCACAAGGAAGTCTCCGTACTTATAAATGGAAGAAAAATTTTCCATTTGAATGTAGAGGAGCCAAATCTCTGTCACACTAACTAATTTATCAGTTGTTAATTAAAAAAAGTGCAAGATTGAGAAGAAGGCCAGCACAGCATACCAATTATTATAGGAGCTCACACTGTTGCAGATTGTTGCAGGAAGAAGTGAAAAAAGGCTTTTCTCACCATCCTTCAAAACTCCCCTTAGGTGGCTGGTGCCATGGCTGGTGTTTGTTTCTGCTGCCAGGGTACTCACAAACTGAAGGTATCTGCATCTTATTGTGCCATACAAGCAGTGGTTTAGCCAAGCTGCCCTTGGAGCCAGTTGCTAAATTTGGTACTTTGCTAATTTAGCTAATTTGATTTGCTAATTTAGCTACATTTGGTAAAAAAATGAATTTACAGCCTTTGGGAATTGCTACAGGGACCATTTACTTTTTCATCAGGTTTTCAAAGACCGTTAAAGCAGAGTACAGATCTTCCCATGGTTGTGGGTTTTACTGGTATTTTTACTTGAGAATGCCAAGGCTGATAAGGCTGGGTGAGAAGTGTATTTTGATTTCGTTCAGCTATTGTTCTGTCACTGTGATTTGTACAGTTGAATTCTACATATTTTGCATTGCTATAAAAGGTAACAAACACATGAAATATCAAGCCATCCTGGGATGTGAAACATGAATCATCACCAGATTGAATTAGCCAATACTCAAGTGGGATACTCCTTTCCTGCCTTCTCCTCTCCTGATGACCTTCAGAAAGGGTTCACAAGAGGCATTTAAATGCTGTTGGATCCCTCCCAAGGAAGCAGGCAGTTTGCACAGGCATTGTTTTACCTTGAAACCTTTTTAGAAAAACTCTGGACTCAAGACAACATCGTAGATGATCTATATAGGGCAAGCATCCATAGTGGCTCCTGAACATTTGCCACTTCAATGCAACTGCATTACCCTATTTCTCTCTAGGCAGAGGATTCAGTCCCAGTTTGTTGCCAATCCTGGCTCAGGTAGATCTAACTACAGGATAAGGTAAGCAACCAGATTTTGTGCCTGGTAAATTTGCCCCTTGCATCAGATCATATAATCAGGAGCTAAAGAGAAGGTCCTCCAGCAGGCAATTCAGAGACCCTAAGTTCCTATCTCACTTGGCAGCAACCTCTTTTTCTCTGTTATCTGCCTTGTGACACTGGGGAGATGCCAGTTAAGCTACACATTAAGTTCCCTTTATTTTTATTATGATTGACTATAATTCATATCACTCTAAACAAATTCGTATCTCAAAAACATGTGACTGTTCTGCATAATACCGAAAGAAAGCCTTGTCTTGACTTGTGCAATGACAAACCATCCAGCTTCTGTTCATTTAAAGTCTGAATTCTGGCTGCTTAGGCTTGGCCACTGAGGCTCTGGCTGTGTTACACCAGTTTTCTGAAGGTCCCTGCAAGGAGCAGTTCCCCACCTCTCTCCGGGTGCTGATGGCAGGTACCCAAGAGCAGGTCTGTGCAATGCCTGCCAGCAATTCTGGAATGTGGGCAAGAGAATTCTGACTCAAGTCTACCTATTCCCCAAAGCACTGATGCAAGGGAGAGAAAAGAATGCAAAGCAGCAATCGAGACTCCCTGTCCTCTACCGTCTTTTTGCATCTGCAACAGATTAAAACAGGATTTTGCTTAATTTGTGTCTCTTCCTTCTTGAGTTTTCCCAGTTGCAAGCTACTCCACACACAAAACCTTAACCTTGTCCTTTAATGATGAACTCATGCTGGAGACTAACAGCTGACAAAGTCATTTTGCTGGATGAAAGGAGTGTGATTTGGTCATATTCCATTGAAGTATTTAAATGGTGTATGATGCTGTTTGAAAGACAAGTAAGGAAGGGAAAGACAGACTGCTTTTGTGGCTGGTAAATATCCTTTGTTCAGGAAGTTTTCGCATGAAGAATAATATTAACATTAACAGGATCAAACCTTGCTCTACATAAACAGAACTCCTTCCTCTCTCAATTTACGAAAACTTCAAAATGCAGAAAGAACTGTCTCAGATCATTCATTTTCATGCCCCAACAAAAACAGGCAGTTGTCTGACATCCTCTTGGCAAACAGTTTAGGACTTGAATGTCTGCATGTACGTCTGCATGGTTAATGAGTTCATTTCCTCTGCCAGGGAACCAATAGCCCAGGGATGAGCCATTTTTCAGGCTCACCCACAGCGTGCAGAGAGCTGCCAGTACAGCAGCCTGTTGTGACTGATCTCTGCTCTTCAATACCACTGACAGCTCCTGAGCAAACTATTAAAAATACAGGCAACAAAAATTCATCTTCTTCCTCTGATGGACAGACCAGGGAAAGGAATTGCTCCCTGGCCCAGCAGCCCCCCTCCTGGCACTCCTCTCTGTGCTCCTCTGCCCCAGAGCAGCTGCAGACACACAGGAGTGCACCAGCAGCAAGCAAGGGATGAGACAGCATTTTCCAGATCTAAACCCCAGTGCCTAATGAGAAGTTATCCCCTTGCTGTGCAGCTATCAACAAAACTGTCCTACTCATCTTCCCAGACATAAATCCTTTCAGTTATTCAGTCTGCTTCAGGGATTTGGAGCTGGGATATATGAATCTAAAGCAATGTTTGCTTATTAAAATAATTCCATATTCACTTGGCTTTTTAAAACATTTTTTCCAAGATTTTTTTTTTTTCCTTTTAAGTACACTGATTTGGAATTTAAGTCTATAATTAAGCTCATTATAGAGTAGGCAGTGAAACTGGAAAGATACAAAAGAAACAAACGGAATTATCTGAACCTATAAATTGAAAGTTAAATTTCTAAGGGCTCTTTCTCCAGAGACATGCTGACTGGAATAGCCAGTGTGTTTGCTTTCCAAGTAGGTACAAGCCATTTATCGTACAAGCCATTTATCAAATGTATAGTTTGGCATTGTTTACTGTGTGGTTACCCACCTCTTATCCAGCTGTAGCTGCAGGGCTCTGACTCTAAACAAACAGAAAAGGGCCAAGATGAGATTTTGCATCTTAAGCAGATTACCCAGAAGATGGTGCTGGCATTTGACAACTTCATTCTGGAATTGCAAACAGAACACTGAATTCTGGGGGTGGGCAACATCAGAGGGGGTTAAGAGCTGTGTTTAACAGAAACAGCTTTAATTACCAGACAAGGCAAAAGCAGTCCTGACAGTTACCACCAAGATCCCAGGGCATTCTGACCAATCTGCTCTAACTGGCAATACCAACTCCTTAAAGACTAGTTTGAAGTCTGAAGACTAGTTTGAACACTTTAAGGAAGTACTTCTCAGAAATACTTGGGGTAAAAGTATTTCATAAATAAGGACACAGAAAAAAAAAGTCACTAGTAGCAAGAGTGGAGGGACAATATGTTTTTGGATAGCTGTTCTGAGAGGTATCAGGGCAGCTCCAAACATCTCCACACCATTATTATAATCATCACGTCACTCACTGATAGGGTTTCAAGTGTACTTCTGGAGTAACACTTATTTCCAAGTAATTTTCCAAATTATGTTTTAAATTTGATTTATCTCGCCTATTTCTTTCATTCCAGCAGTAGTACCCAGCTGTGTAAGGTACACCAACACTAAACCAGGCCACTGAAAAGTGATAGATATCTCTTGATGTTAGTTGGTGCACAGTTGCCTTTCTCACCCAGAATGTACCTCCTACAAGAGACTCACATCAGAAAGCAATGAGCACATTGTTACAAACTGTTTTCTCTGATTCCATGCTGAGGCACCAGCTCAAAAAAAAAAAAGGCCAAGTTGTGGTTAATCTAATTCCTGAGTGGGCACACTCCTCACACATGTTCTTCTACGGGTGTAAAAGCAAGAAAACTTTCAGCTCAGTCTGCCAGTGAGTCCAAAGTTATGAACCAAGAGTACAACCTGAACATGTTATTCAGATACCCCAAATCAGAACAGCTATTAAACAAAACCCTGAACTAGTAAGGAAGATCCTTTGAATAATTCATGCCTGCCATGGGTTCATGGCAGCATCCTGTGCAACACCTATCACGAGGAAAGGGACATCATCCCCTGTCATGTCCATATTTTGACTTCTTTCAGAACTGCTCACCCTAAATTATTAACTTGTAAATCTGTGCCTGCTGCAACCACAGGGCAGCACCATGACAAAGGCATAGAGAACAGGCTCTTGCACCTGAAGGAGCAGCAGATGTTCTGAACCAGGAAGACAGAGAAACATTGCCCCACCACTTGGGAGGTATCACATCCATGAAGAATAAAGATTTAGTGGGTGAGTTAAGACTAAGTGGAAAGGTATATGTTGAAAGGCAAGTCCAAAGGGTTTGGAAGTAGGTCATGAGTGGGACAACTTCAATACCTGTGGCACAAACCCATGTTTTTGCAAACCAGGATCTCACCCCAGCTCAGGTTATAAGCCTGCTGCTTGTTTTGTCTCATGTTTGCTTCAGTTCCTTCCTGATAATGGTCTTATTACATAAACAAACATAATGCTTAGGTCACATCCAGTTACTTATAAGAAAAGCACATTTGTATGTGCAACATGGGACATGAAATACTCACACACTGACATGTATTATAGCAGGATGCACCCAATTCTGAAATAAAAGCAGCAGGAAGGAACAGAGGGAAGTTCCTAATTTTTTTCAGTCTTCAGTCCAGACCTTATGATTTCATCTCCCTGGAGAAGTGACTGCTACAGAAAGAGCAGGTTTTGCCCTTAAAATTAGCAAAATCTCTCTCTACCTGGCCCCCTGTGCTGCTGTCACTGCCCTAGGGCTTAATTGCTCTTAGGCAGCAGTGTCTGTCACTGTAAGGACATTTCTGCATTTCTCTGGGTTCTTCCATTAAGCAGAAAATAAGGGCAGAAGGAGAGGGGTGTACATCCAGCTAGCAATGAGAAAATGAAAATTCACAGCCTTTAATAAGAAGGCCTTCCAAAATCCTGGAGAGATTTTATCCTCTATTTTCAGCTGTTATTGGAAGGAATCCATAAAAGCTTTGTATTTGATGCTCTTCAGGACACACTGAACTTTGGGCTGTGCATCTCAACATTCGAACCGAGACATGACCTAGCAGTCCTGCACCAGCATTCCCACTTGTTCTGTCAGTGGAGCACCATTTTCCCTCATTTTATTCTTAAAAATACCTGAGCACATCACTCTGCAAGACAGTGAAGAAAGAAACACAGTTCATGAAAGCAACAAAACTAAAAGCAGCACCATCAAGCAAAGCAAAACCAGGAACAAAACTCCATCCAACCTCCACAGCCCTTTTTTCTTTTAATTTATTATTAGGATGTGTTGACAGAGGTAGCTCTTGACAGCAGCTCTTGGCAAGTGGTTTTTTGTAACACTAACTAAAAATGCACAAAAAAATTAGGCCTGAGATCCAGAGATGACAACCCAAAAAGAAATTCTTAAAAATGCCCAATTATCCTGACCTCTCTGAAGGACAACTTCATGAAAATCTTCCACTTTGGTGGGAACAGAGTATGATTCACAAAGCTACTTTGCAAAGGTCACACAAGAATGGATATTTGTAAGCTCTTTTTTACTGTGCACTTGCTCTGAGTCCCTCAATGCCCATAATTTATCATACATACCATGAATATTCTGCTGCTAAAGCCAAGATATTTCAGCTTTAAATTGTAGAAAAAAACCCACCATGTGCAGCACTGGAGCAAGCAGGTCTGTAACATTTTCTGGCACTGTAATGAGAGTCTGTTACACCACTCAGTATTTTCTTTCCTTTCTTTTCTCTTCCTTTCCTTTAAGCTAACATCCTTTTCCTGTGCCTGAGGGAGAAGGCAGTTGATAAAAGCCGAGTTCCTGTTCACAGATAAGTTTAGAAGGCAGCCCAGCTCCGAAGTTCCCTGAATAAGCTCTATTCCTACCACCTTTTTTTCCCCCCCGTCAGAGCTGCCTGAGCCCCACACAGGAACCAGGCTCACATTGTTCCATAGCCACGGACGTTTCCACAGTAGCTGGGAGGGTCGAAAGCTCTTTCCGCTCTTTGTTACAACATTTTTTTTTTCCTTCCTTCTTCCAACTTTCCAGTTAAAGAAAATCGCTGGGGCATTTCTGAATTAATTCGGGCTGAGCTTCAGAGGAAAGAACAAGAGACAGGTGTAACTGGGTGGGAAAAGCCCCAGGATGCTGGTGAAGCTTTTGCTGCTCTGTAATACAATAGGGTTGGCAAAGCTGGTGGAGCACTCAGACCATCGTGGACATCATGATGGTTCGGGGCACAGCTCAAAGCCACGAGTTTATGAGACCTCTGCATACCCCCTGAGGACTCCTCTGTCACACCAAGAAGGTTACTGGGAGGCAGAAGGGCTCAGGGAGGATACTCAAGATTACCCTTCAAGTGTGATTTCCTCACACCAGGAAGAGAGAGGGGATTTTGAAGCTGCGAGCCCACAGTCCCGAAATGGGTAAGTACCCCAGTGTGTCTGTCTCTGTGAATCCTCTGTGATACCTTTATATCCTGTTGATGCAGGACCATTTTCAATAGAAGTTCCTCATTAAAATACATTAGATTCTAGAGGTCAATCTGTATCCAAACAGGAGCAGTTTAAATGCTTTAGCTACACAAACAGAAAGCTGAATCGCTTGTGGAGGATGGAAGCACAGATGGGACGGGCTCTTTGCTTAGTCTGAGACAGCAGAATGGGGCTAGGGGTCTGGGCACACCTGGCAAATGTGAAGCCTTCCAGCTCTGCTGCAGCACCACAAAACAGAACTCTACTTCTGGCAAAGCAGTATTAGAGGAAGTTAATTTACTCATGTTTTCTTATCGCAAACCAATGATGATTATTTTTGCTGATTGTAGCAACCTCTGCCCATCAGCAAAATGTGCCTGCCTGCAGACTTGGGCCTTGGAAATGGAGAGGGAAAGAGCATGGCAGGATATTAACAAAATAAAAATAGTGAGGAGTAAATATAACAAAGTAAGGAATAATAAATAAGCATGGGTATGACTACAGATTCCACACGCCCTTCCCCCCAAAAGGTTTTCATGCCAGTGAAATGCTTTTCATGGTAATCTGTAGCAGAAGAGTAGCCATCCTGAGTGGAAAAGGCATGTACTTCACTAGAAACATTCCCAAACCCTATGATTTGTGTATGGTTTTACAGGGCTTGTAAGTAGGTCTCTAAATGTTTAAAACAGATGGAAACCAAGCAGGACAGTGAATGAATCTTTCATAGCCCTGATGGATGGGTACTGCAGAGCCCTGTTTGGGAGAGCTGAAACAGCAGCACACTGAGTGCTGTTCACAGCTCAGTGCTTTAGGATGCCCTGTATTTTTCCCTTTAAATGCTCTTGAGAAAGGAAAAAAGGGAGATGGAAAGAGACTATAAAACTTTGCTCATGTCATGCTTCCCTTTCAGGCAAACTAAACTCTGCAGTCTTGTTTCCAATCTCATCTGCATGTAATTAAGGCCTCCCCTCTGCATGTAACATGATGAGTGTATTAAAACCCTGCTGCCCTTCATACTCCATCTTTCCACAAATCTGTACCTCCCACCAATAGCCCCAAGTCACTTTCTAGAGCCTGTAAGTGTTCACTTCCAGTTTCATGATGGGTAGTGTTGGGTAATGACGTGCTCTGTTAATTAATCAACTCCTGGATAACGCATTTCAGACACTGTCAAAAGAAGGCAGCAAAGCCTAAGTGGTGTTCTGGGCTTCCAAGTTACACTGCAAGGTGGTAATCATTTGATTGCTGGTTAAAATGCCAAAAGCATTCTGAAAACTCCAAGTACTATGAAAATTCAATGGTGTAAAAAGGTGCATCCTAGGTCAGCAAGCTGCTGTAATGTACCACCCTAATCAGGATTTCTTCCTTTGTATGTGACTCTGTTCAGCACCACCTTGTCTAATTCAGTTCAACACCAGCTATGACTCATCCTAATTTCCTCCTGAGGAGAGAAATACTTCCTTCTTTTATGGACATAGTTGCATAATGAATTAAATCATAATTCTTCCCAATTATGAAGCCATGGTGATGACTACAGGCGATTCAAATCTAGCCTGGCAGTAGCTTTAAGGTGTTTGTTCTTTTGCAGAGCTGTCACACTTACAGCACACACAGGCCCAGGCAGCTGGGAGGTCTCATGAAAGAAATTTGAGACTTTGAGAGGAATTATGTCCAAAACAGAGGGGAGAGAGTGTGAGTAAGAAGGGACAACACAGTTCCCCTTGTAACCACACTCCAGATTGTAAAAGTCATTGCAAATGGTTGAAGCAAAGTACCTTCAGAGTGTGAAGTCCTCAAGTGCACGTCAGGTGCTGTGGCTGCACTACCCTGCTATGCACAGACAAGATGTTGTCATGAATCTGGTATTTCCTCCCTAAAAGTGTGACACATTCCATGGAAAAAAACAACCAGGAACTGGGTTTATATCTCTAAGGGAGAGAACAAAAGGAAAACTATCTGGAGTTACACAGGAATGAAGAGATATAAGGAGATAAAGACATGCCCCCAAAAGTGCAAAAGACATGCCAAAAAAAGCCCAGGATGGTGGAGAATAATTTTCTACCAAAATTATGTCTTACATATACTTTGCTTTTGAAATAAGAAAATACTTTCTTTTCAGAACTAGGAAACAAAAATCTATGGTAACTTTATGAAAAGTTTTGACTCTCGTTATTTTAAAAAAATAAAAATTAGATGTGTTGTGTTCAACCTCTTATTATTTTCCCCACTAAGGAATAGTGGTTGTTACAAAATATTCTTACCGTTTTAAAAATGTATAGTCTTATTTTTTACATTGCAGTTATTTGTTTATTTGTTATTTCAATAATTGAGACCATCATGACTAGTAAGTCCAAGGTATTAGTCAGGCAGAATCCTCTGTTTTCTGCTTCACCATGTAAGATGAAATGACTCAATAGATACCATTCAAGTGCTTGGATATGTTATTTTGCTGATTGATTCCTCTAAGAAAAACAAGATTATAAATTTAAGAGTTTTAAAAGATAAAAATCATCAGAGAAGTCACTGGCCTTTAGGTGACTTTTTTAAAAAGAGAAATACATGGCTAATAATCCTCTTGTTTCAACTACTCTTTAGAAGAACTACTTGACAGTTTAGCATCTCAGCTGTTGCTCGTGCCTGAGCGAAAAGGAGAAGCTCTGCATGTTCCAAGTGGACAAATGCTTGTACGTGTTACTTACAGAAATCAAAACTATCAAAAGAGGCCATTTTTCCAAAGGAAATCACCTTTTTATTCTGCTTTTCTCCCCAGCAGCTGTGTCTCATATGAGCTGATTGGTTTCACTTTAGATATTTCATTCTGTTGCTGAGGTAAATGGATCCACACGCACCCAAACTTTCAGCAGAATTAAAAAGGGAAATCAAGAGATCTGTACTCCAGAATTGCTGGACTATATTAGCATCTGGTTTAGCAATGGAAGGTGAAGAGTAAGAACAGCAAAACAGGTTCTCAATACATAACACCCAAACCAGACACTAAATATATTTCATTCTTCGTTTCCCTTAAATAGATGCCTAATGCAGAACTTCACAGGGACACTGTTGTTACTGGTGGCTTTCCTGTGTGTGGATACAGGCAGCTACACTGAGGCTTGAAAAGCTGCCTGGGACATGACCAGACATGAGGAAGTTCTAAAAGTGACCCAGCAAATATCAAATAAGAGCTTGCATTAGCTCATCACCCCCTCTAATTCTTACCACTAGGTGTAACCAATCCAACTGCTGTCTGATAAGGTCATATTGAAAGGGATAATAAATACACCAGTGAGAAGACACTACTATTGTTGTCCTGACAACTGCAATGTGGCTGACACACCTGATAGCTTGTGAAAACTCCCCCTAAGCTGACAAGCCATCTCAGAGACTTTTCCTTCTTTAGAGCCACTTCCTCCAAATACTTGGTAATGAGTTCTGAGGTCTGAACAAGGCACAGTGCTGAGCTGACTCAGGGGAGCTGATGCTGAGGGATAGGGCTACAGGAGTATCCAGGTACTGAAGCTGTACAGTTCAGCCCTGGGCAGACAGAACTGGGCACACACGTCCCTCTCCACGGGGCTGCTTGTGGGCCTGGATCACAGTGACAGCCTTTGAAAGGAAAGGTTTCCTGACCCTGGGAAGAACATGCCATCTTGTCTATATATGCCCTTGCCATGAGCTTACCTCTTCTGAGCAGAGATCCATGGAAAGACCCCTACTGTAATTACATTTAGAAGGGCTTGTTTTCTCTCCCTACAAACAGATTCTCTAATCAAGCACTGCACTGAAGCACCATTAGTGCTCCTGTCTTTTCTCAGCACCAAGCATGAGAAATCCACATGCCTGCAACATCAAGAACAGTCAGGCTCACAACTCAGGTTTCATGCACTTAGTGTTCATATTTCATTAAAAAAACCAGGACAAATGAAGCACATAAAAGGCACATGCTAGCTCTGACAGCAAAGCCCAAAGCTGCCTGTACCCTCAGTTAGCCTGACCTGTCTGTCAAGTAACACTGTAAACTGGATCACTCAAGCATTCCAGGTTAAAAATAATCTTAGGAAAAGCAGAATTTATTTTTAACCCTCCCCCTCTGCTGATGGAGCTGGTTCCCAAAAGAATGGCTCACACAGTAGAGGAGAAATGGACTGTGGTGATGAAAAGGGAAGGAGGAGAGCAACTACAGATGCTTTCCCTGCCTGTGACAAAGTCTCACAGAACTCCCCTGTTTTTCCAAAAGTGCAATCATTGCCAAGTAGCTCCTGTTTTGGATTTGCCATGCAGCTGGGTAGGTAGTTTACTTTTCCTTCTTTCTCTTTAATACACCAACACACACACACACACACACACACACACACACACACACACTTGATATTATCTCCTGGGATATTTCTCACTATTACAAAAAGAAAAACAAAAGGAAAAAATCCCCAACCACCACCACCTGATCTACTGGAAAGGCAGAAATCTTCAGCTTAAGCAAATCCTTAATTGCATTAACATAGTTTGAATTTCGGACACTCAATTCTGTGAAGTCACCCTTGATTAGAGGAAGGTTTCCTGATGTCAACCAGGTGCATTGTTATCTCACTGAAACACTCATCTCTTTATGTAATTCAGCATCAAGAAGCCACAAAGAAGCAGGCTTCTTCTCATGGTTACCCAGTATGTCAAAATATAGAACTATCCTCCTCAGTGTAGACCAGCAGAGAAAACCCAAATCATTCTAAGGAAAGTCAGAACAATGTTCAGTCTTAATAGCTTATTTTTTGTCTGCTTTTACAGGAAGAATACGTTGATTTAATTAAGACCAGTTTCACACTGACTCATCTATTTGTTCAAAACAAGGCAGGGGCTTTTGTAGGAAGCTTATGGGATATTGGGATTTCCCACCAAAGGGGCACAGAACATATCCTTAAAATAAAACATTTTGGAATTAAATGCAGCTAAAATGAGAT